TTTTTAAGAGAAACTTTTAAAGTTGATGGACCATTAAAGTTATGATAAACTTTAATGGTCCATCTACATAAAGTAGATGAACTATTATACCAAATATATGTAGAATACCATATTTTGGAATGTTAAACTAGTATCAAAAAATAAAAAATCTAAGATATGATATTGTTGTAAGTAAAATATAAGACAATTGACTTATAGGAATGAAAATGTGGTCAAGATATTTGTTATCACTAAGGGCATCCAGATTCAAGTTAGATCAAGATCCCATAGCATTTAGCATGAAAAGATGAATTGGTAACAAAAGATGACTTCTATGATAGAAGTAAAGAATTTGGAGAAGACTTTCTTTGCATTGTATGGTGGATGTGGCCTTTTGTGAACCGTACCTATAAAGTGTTTTTGTGTACAGAATGAGATCCCTCATAACATGATGCCCTAAAATATTGCATTTTTTGCTTTATATATAAATCTGACTCTGGGAATGCAGACGAACTGTAAAGGATACCATTTTACACCTTTCCAAACTCCTATTTGGAAAACTGCAAATGTTTGTTTTTTTACTAGAGACACTAAAAAATCCTTTTATTTTTTGTTTTTTGAAATTGTTCTTCATGTACAAAGTTAATCTGATTAATGCTCGTAATCTGTTCTTCTGTGACTGAATATTATTTAATTCTAGCAAATCAATTTAATTACAAAAACATTTTCAGTCTAGATTGATAGATCTTCATCAGTTGGTACAAGAAGAGAATGAAAATTGACTTAATAAAAGCCAAAAAGCTAACTAATTTTAAATTTACAAAAACAAATAAATAAAAAGTTACAAAAACAAATGCTATAATTACAAACAAAATGTTATATAATATTTTCTCAAATGCTTTTGGATTATGTGGAAGCATTTCAGGGAATAAGTTATTTCTGTAAATTACTCTATGAAGTTTCAAGCTAAATATTGGTGTAGAATGCAGTCATTATAGAGGCTGCTTATTTGTTTTAGAAAAAATAAACAAATTACCTCTTTGCTCTATTTGTGTTTGTATTATATAATTAAGAATTTCTTTTATCCTTAGCATCAGCTTGTGGAATGTTATCAAGTTTTTGTTCTGTTGCAATTAGAATTTTACTTTCCAAATTTGTAAACAGCAGACATATTGGTAAGTTATTTTAAAGAAATATAGGCACTATGCTATATGAAATTCAAGTAATAAATAAAATTAAATTACAGGTAGTGTCTTCTCACTGTTGGCAATTTGTGAATCAACCACACCACTCTTTGCTGGAATCATATTCCTGGAGACATACAATTTGATGTATTGCATTTTTGCAGGTTTTGCCTATATAATTGCTGCCTTTTTGTCATTAATTGGTTTTTTTACATTTGTGTGAGTATTAAATTCAGTCTAACACTAAATTTTTACTTTTAACTTTTTTTACTTTTTTAATTTGGATAAACTTAAACATTTATGTTTCATTAAAGGTGGTTGATAAAGAAAATGCCAACATATGAATCACTTAATACTTTTCCAATTACTCAAGAATGTCCTACAACTGTTCAGTATGCTGATGAATGTGCTATTTTTTAATTTTGAAAGCATTTATGTTATACAGTATAATGATTTTATAGTTTTATATTATTTATAAGAAATGTAGCATATAGTTATTAATACTAATATTACTGAATTCAGGTTAGGTTATATGAATTTCTGGCAATACTTACTATTATATTAACCTATACAAATAATTTAATTTTATTTTTATTCCTGTTGATAGTTGCTACTTAGTCTATTTCAAGATTTTCTGAAGTATTTATTTATTGTAATAGAAAAATCAGTTTATAGGAAGCAGAATCTTTTAATAACTTTATTAAATGTTGTTTTAAAAGTCATTAGAATAAATTTATTCTAATTACTTTTAGAATTTAATATACAAGTAGATATTAAATTATAAATATTTATGCAGAGTTCTGTTGTAAAATATATTATTCAAGTAGTACAGACAAAATAGTTTGTCTGTACTACTTGTGTTCCTTAAAGAAGATAAATAATGTTTTATGGGAACAAATATTAGTGATGATATAAAAATGAAAAATTATTTTTTATTTTAATATAGTATAGAAAATTAATATAATAAAATAATGATTGTAAAGTTTTTGAAATTAACTATATGTATAGGTCATTTTATATTTGAATTTTAGTGATTTTATATCATAACTAAATTATGAGGACATATCCACAATATCTTCATCATAATATCAATGTCATCATTATTTATTCAACATTTTATATTATTTATAGTATATTTTATATGATAAACATAGAAAAACATTGATAAGTTATATCAGCATTGTTATAACAATGTATTTCATAGATTTAGGATTATGAAAAATAAAATTCTCAACTTGTCTTCTCAATAAATAAAAAGGAGAATTTAAAAATTTTGAATATTTTGATCCTTCTTTTATAAGGCTTTTTCACAATGAAGTAAAAATGTAAATAGTTTTTAATAATTTATAACTTTTTAAACTGTAAAGTAGTTATGTAGATAGTTTTTATATACTTAAGACTTAAATATCAAAGAAACCATTTTTGTATTTCATGGAATGTTTTGATACTATTGAGTTTAATTAATTATTTCAAATTTCCTAAAAATTGCTATTATTTCTTGCTATAAATATTTTATCTATATGAATGTTTTAAAGATCTATTTAAGTTTTATCAGATTTTATTATTTTAGTGAAGAATGTACTGTATATGCTTAAAAATATAATTGAAGATGTTTTCAGTTCATGTATCTTTCTTTATAAGATATAATATTCCAAATAAATATCTATATAAATTTTATACATGTACTGGATGATTGTAATTAAAGTACAGTATTCCAATTTTGTCTAGAGAGTTGAATAGGAATACTCTAGTGATATCATTCTAAATGCAATGATTTAGTGGCATCTCAGAATGTATAAGACTCCATTTTGAAAAATTAGTACAAAGTTCACTGTTATGAAAGTTTTGACACTGCATGCAACAAACATTTTATTTGTAAATGATACTCGTGTTAAATAGAGACCTTATTGATATATGGGATATTGCTCAGTATGGTGAAGATTAAAACCTGAAGGCTATTGAACAGTGTGTTCAATAGCTGACCATAATTGATCCTCTGTGACTCTTTTCACACATAGTATGATACTGTCTTTCAACGCCACAAAATTTGCAACATGTGTTTAATAAACATGGCTTGACACTTTTTAAATGTACTCACAACCAAAAATCACACATAGTAATAATTTATCCAAAGTGTCAAAAAAATGCCTTTGTGTTGGGTTTTGATGCTAATTTATATATATATATGTCATTCTATCAAATCTGGTTGCATTTGGATAGTCTCTATTGGGCTGCAATTTGAAAAAATTGTAGCCCTATAGAGTTGTCTGTCTGTGTCTGTCCTTCCCTAATCTTGAGAACAGTAATAGATAGATGAAAGTCATGACCAGATATGAGAAATTCTGAATACTGTAGCTGTCAGGCACCAATGATTTCTTTCTTTTTCTGTTTCTGTTTCTTTTCACTTGATTTTTGTTCCATTCAATCAAAAATTTCAGAAAATAATCTATTTGTCATCTATGACTTGTTGCTGTTTTTAAAATATTTGGATAATTGGAACACACCTTAAGTAGATTCTTGTATTTTTCTATGACTAAGAGATTTTTCATATTAATGATATGAAAGAATACAAGTTAAGTGTACTATTATATGATGTTTTTCTTATTTCTAATTGATACTCTTAAATTGCAAGTGTTGAATCTGACAGAATTTGATAAAACAGACTTGTTTTTCTGTGTTGTAGATGTCTTCCTTCCTGTATTGTTTCATAATACAGTATTTGGAAGTATTGTTTTTAACCAAGCCTTTAGTATTGATTCATCAGCATCTAACTGTTCATCATGGAACATCTTCTGGACAATATTATTTCTTTCTTTCTTCCCATCTTGAGAGCCATCTTCGAATCTATAGTAGCCATTTCCAAAAAGAGGATATTACATATGTGTATACTTAATTAAAATTTTAATATGAAAATTTTTTCAAATCTCTTCTCTCCATCAAATTGTTGTCTTCTGGATATGGATATAAATTTTCTTCATGCCACACCCATGCTTTTCATTATTTATAAAGTGAAAAACTTGTTTCATCACTAAATACAGAGTAAATCTATTCAATAACTATTTGGCTTGAATTACTAGCTTTTGTAGATGTCACGTCTGTTTCTCACATGAATGAATGTCAAGGTAGTTTTTTGGTAAGGAATTTTGCCCTAAAACTTCTAGTCCTCCAGTATGATTCTTTTAGACGTTTTAACAGATCAAACTTTGTCTCTAACACATTTCCAGATTGTTTAGTCAATAGGCATGAACAAACTAGCCATGAACGTCGATAGATTCATATCAATTCACTTTTAACCCAAAAAAACATTCTTTTCCAAAAATATCATACTGTAGCAAATCTAGACCACAGTTCAAGCTTACAAATATAATTAGCAAACCATATTTTTACATACCAGGACAGATTCCTACAAATTATTGCTATAAACCTTTTACTTCTGAAGAATGTTGCAATTACGTTGTTAAAAAAACACTGTGGAAGAGTCTTATATATTATGCTTCCCACTTTTGTTATGAAGTTACAAATGTGTATATATATATATATATATATGTTACTTTCNGTAAACCAGAAATGAGGGTCCCACTGCCACCAACTCTATTGTATTGATGAAAGAGAGTAAAAATTGTCGTTTGTCGGAACAGACACAAAGTTTCAAAAAATATTCGAGAAAGAAAATAATAGAAAGAGTTCGTTTTATTCCTAATAAATGGTATTTTTTTTTGGAAATAATAATGAGCAAAAAGATATCCAAGATACTCAAAGAGCAGGTTATGATGCCATACAACTGTAAAGAGAAAAATTGTGAATGAAATAAATTAATAACGTTTATGGTTTAATTTGAAACTGTCACAATAAATTATTATATTAAATTTAATTTACAGAAATGACAAGAAAGAATAGAGAGACGAAATATAATTTCGCAATGATAAAAATATTTTTTCAATTTATGGCGTGAAATTATCGATTATAAGAATAATTGATTAATTTACTGCATAAAATTTGATTTTTTGGTTCAAATAATGTTTTTTTGTATGACTGTGTTTCATTTCTGTGTGTTAGTCAATACAAATAAATTTTCTGTTATAGAAACGAATTAATGGAGTACAGTAATTCACATTGAAATATAGTAAACCCCCGGTTAATTCGGACTAATAAAGGTGTAAAGGTTGTACGAGTTAACGGGGGTTTACTGTACTTCATTATAACTAATTTAAATTAGTTATAATGAAATAGTCATTGTTATAGCATTTTATTAGTTTAAAATAACATTAAATTATTTACATTTCTTCCTAATATATACGTGCATTTTGTTATTTGTATGTTTAAAATTTTTATTTTACTTGTATCGAAGTGCATTGTTAAATTTGTATATTTTTATTTTACTTTAAATAAATATTTTGTTGTTTTAATTTTATTTTTTGTTAAAAATTTTTTCTTTTTACATCAATCTAGTTTCTTTTGAAACTGAATTTAAAAAATTTAGTGCAATGTATTACTTAATAAAGACAGAGTTGCAGAACAACTTTATGAATTCAGACTATGAAAAGTGTCAACTAGTCAAAACATTTTCTGTCGTTTTGGATTTTTTACACATTCGAAAATGTAAAGTTGAACTAAATTATTGGAAAGAAAGTAATCAAAATTCGAATAAATTAATTTATTAATAAAAAATACGTAGAAAGACTTTGAAGAATGTCTTCACTTTCGCCATGTCCAATCACCAGGAATGATAACCTTCAACTGCAGAGACTACCTTTCTTTAGAGACTACGCCTCTGCAAAAAAGATGCAAAACAGACCGTTTTGTAAAAAAAATGCAGATTTTTTAAACTGTTTTGTAGTAGTTAAAGTAGTTCTGATGTTTCATAATAATTTTGTTCTTAGAACAGTGATTTAATTGTTATAAACAAATAAAGGAATCCATTCGACAAACTGTTAACTGATCTTTAACAAAATATTTATTTTAATTTTGTCTATTTATATCTTTCGTTATCGTGATAATTACAACTGATTTCTTAGTTTTGAAGAATTTTTTTTTTCTTAATATGGCATTGAAACAGTCTATTTATTTTCAATTTGATATTGTAGATTGATATTCGGCGTAAACTTGATTCAAAATCGTTATTACCGAAAAATTCCAAAATAAGGAAACTTGTCTAAAATTTAGTTGAAATTTTCGTAAGAGGATTGAGTAATTTCAGGCTTCGGACCTAATAAAAATAGATTTATATTAAAATATATCTATATAAAACTTAATTGATAAATCCGGAATCGTAGAAAGTCATCTCTGGAGACACTCCTCTCGGGATAACTTTCTATGATTCCGGATTTACTGGTTGCACTCGACCACCGATGGACCTACATCTACAATTAAATCATTTCCAATTCAGTTCTAACCTAACCTATTCAGTAAATATTGAATTTATATATACTTTTTTTTCATTTTTTAGCACTAAGAGGACACTTTTTCATACCCATTGTGAGTTCGGCCATGCTCATAATGGAAGTGGGCTGATGCTGAGGGGCAGGACAGACTGCCCATAAAAAAAGTCCTGAGATGCGCTCACCTTAACCTTCTCGGCCATCTGGCCGTTGAATTAATTTTATGTACTCGTATCATAAGAGTAAATAATGTTTAATGAGTAGCTGAAAAAAACATATATTTCAGCATATAGGCTTTAGAAACAATTGCGGATTATGCCCTAGACAAAAAAAGACAATTGTCTAGGGCTCGTAAATTTCAAGGACCCGGCGAAAAGTTAGAAATTCTCAATACTATAAAGTTTATAGTATAAACGATATAAATGAGAAAATAAATATATTTTTCAATAATTATTACGAAAAATAATATAGTTCTACAAAAAAGCATGAAAACAAGGAAACAGTTTAATGAAATACAAAAGCGTAGCACAGGGCCCGAATTACAGTTTTGTCTTAGGCCCTCTGAGGATTAGTCAGTCATTGTAAGGAGGCAACATTTTTCCATTTCGATTTCAGAAAAAAAGTAAATATATGATTCTTGTAATTGAACTCTGTGAATATAACGAGTAAATCCGTGTTTTTCTATATATTTTAAAATTCGTAGTGGTATCTTTCAGAAAATTTAGTTAGTCTACATTTAAATGAAAATTATTAGTACTTACGGATTAATCGTTTCGGTCTTGGATGAATGTATCTTCACTGTGGCAGTGGAAATTTTTTTCTCTTTAGAAATCTGAGATTTTATTATTTCGAACTCATCGAAGCTGGTACCGTAGCGATTTACAAATTCAGCCACAATGCAGGAGATTGGCAAAGTCAAAAGAATTGTACCTGTCACGCAGCAGAAACCGGCTACTAGTTTCCCCCCATGAGTTTCTGGAACGAAATACTCTCCTCCAACGTTGGTAAGAGCAGTGACTGCGAAACAGAAGGTATCTAAGAGTGTAGCATTCACATTCACAAGAGAACTTTTCGTTTCTATTATGCATATTAGGGTAGAAAAGAAGATGCACATTGCTAATAAAGCGAACAAATAGAAAGCCATGCCGATATCTTGTGCAAATAAGACTACTGCCAGAATTTTTGGACTCCCGTAATATTTGATCAACTTTATTACTCTTAACACTGTCAGACAGTCCCAGATGGTGAGACCTGGATGTTGGATATTACTGGAAAATGGTCTAGAACCGTAAACCAGAAATGAGGGTCCCACTGCCACCAACTCTATTGTATTGATGAAAGAGAGTAAAAATTGTCGTTTGTCGGAACAGACACAAAGTTTCAAAAAATATTCGAGAAAGAAAATAATAGAAAGAGTTCGTTTTATTCCTAATAAATGGTAATTTTTTTTGGAAATAATAATGAGCAAAAAGATATCCAAGATACTCAAAGAGCAGGTTATGATGCCATACAACTGTAAAGAGAAAAATTGTGAATGAAATAAATTAATAACGTTTATGCTTTAATTTGAAACTGTCACAATAAATTATTATATTAAATTTAATTTACAGAAATGACAAGAAAGAATAGAGACGAAATATAATTTCGCAATGATAAAAATATTTTTTTCAATTTATGGCGCGAAATTATCGATTATAAGAATAATAAACTATCTTATTTGTACTTGATTATCTCTTTTTCTCGGTTTAATTGTTAGGAGTAAGCATAAGATTGCTTGAGAGAAAATATCATACAGTGACACACAACGAAGATAGATATAGCTTACAGGCTTTTATTAATTCTAGAGGATATGCATTTCTAACAATATGTCCCTCTTCGTTCCTCTTTATTTTACATCAATCTGTATGCCAGATGTTCCATATGGTTTTAAAGGTGGCACAAGTTCATTGTAAAAGGAAAGTATGGTAAAATTTTATTAAAATAATAAAAAATTAAAAATTGATATAGAGAACTCTCTATATTCTGTAAATTATAAAAGGAGAGAGTGTAATAAAATATTATAAAACAGTAAAATATAAAAAACTGGTAAAAAGTAACTTTGTATATTTTAAAGAAATAAAGCTTAGTGATTGTCACGCCTACTTTTAACAATTCATTATTATTTATTAATAGAATTTTATCACTATTCTGAATATGTATGGTATAGTAATGAATAGTATGACTATCATCTATTAATAGAATTTTACCATACTTCCACTTTTATAATGAACAGTTGCCACTTTTAAAACCACATGTAACTTCTGCCATACAGATTGATGTAAAATAAAGAGGACCAAAGAGGGACGTAGGCCTATTACCTGAAATTACCTTTCGGATGATTTTCGACGCCCCGAGCGATTCCTTAAAAAGATTCTACTATAGATGGTTTGCAGAGCACTCATGTCTTCCTGAAACATCGGCTAGAGATGTTGATCAGAATAAATTAAACTGCATTTGTTGGAGCATACTAGGCTATATATCACAAGTGACCGAATCACTAAAACTACTGAATACTGTAATGGTAGTGGGTGCGCATCTGATTAACGGGCTGTCTGCGTAAAGTTATCCGGGTTTTCTTTGGGTGTCTCCCAACTAAATATGGGCCAGTTTCCCATGGAAAATCGCCCATGTGTTGCACTGTTTTCTCCCATTGATTCCATTCATTGGTTATATGTGTTTGTACATACTCTATATGTCTTGTATATGGTCTCTTTAAATTTTTATAAGGCATAGCCAGATTTGGTAAATAATCTGTGTAAACGTTTACTATTTATGAAATATCGTCAAAATTAGTATTACATTTTATTTTCGTGACTCAGCTAATGAAATTTCTTAAAAATAATGATGAAATTCAAATAAAATATTTTACGTGGAAAGAGAACTCTATATCAAATTATAAATTTTTTGTTTATAAACAAGCATTCACTATTATCAGGACTTATTATACTTTAACAGACAAAAAAAATTGTTCTCTGTGAAACTCTGTATTGTCTGTTAAGCCAGTATAATAAGTCCTGATAATAGTGAATGCTTGTTTACAGATAAAAAATTTATAATTTAGTAAGAAAAGGACATTGAAGCATCTTAATTAGAACTCTATATCATTTGCAACGAAAATCTTACCTTAAAAATCCATAAAAATTTAGGGTTTTGCATTAACATCTTTACTCGAAGCAGCTCATTATTTGTGGACCAATCCGCATCTGTCAAAAGTTTCTCTTTCAGAGCGAAAAAGTCTTCGGACTGTTTCTTCAAGAAGAAGTACCTCATCTGGCAACAAGGTTCTAGTCTCATCTCTTCTATTCCCCAGAATACTAGTTCCTCGCTCAATCCAGCAATGCATACCTTGTCCACGTGAAATTCGCCTGTTTGATACAGATTTAGGATGCTGCCGAAAAATCTAGGATGGCGGTCGAAGATAATTTCGTTTTTCTCCGGATGATAGCGGTTGCAGTAACGCAGCAACTGATCGATAGTTTGCGAATGTCCGGCCCGACCTAGCCGCGAGTTTGGTAAGGTCTTCAATGATTCCCATTTAGTTTCGAACCTGGATCCTCCCACCATAAGTACTACGCGCGCTGATCTTTTTATTTCAGTTTGATCTCCATATTGTTTAAAATCGACCGAATCGTATCTCCAGGTACCCAACTCCTCCTCCGCTTCCTAATTAAAAATCGACATTTATTGGTCGATCTATCTACTTATATTTTAAACGTATTTTTATATTTTCATGTAATACGTTTAACCATACTCATTAAATATCTAATTATAAACTAATTTTAAATTAAGAAAACACCCAATTTCCACCATGGTGAATAAGTGAGTCCAATCCTCCAGCGTGGATAAAGGATGTAAAACAAAGTCTTAATCGTAAAGAATTATGATATTTTAGATCTAGACTTTATTTTCTGTCCTTCTTTCGTTCTATCCTTCTTTATTTTATTCCTTATGCTAAGTATTTTACAGCACTTTAAATGAAAAAATTCTAAAAACATGGAAAAGATATCTAGTAAACAGCATCATATTTTGAAACTTTTCTTCCGAGTTCTAAAACTGATGTAAAAATATTCAGAAATTGTAAAATAAATAAATAAATAAAATAATAAGGATTCAGTAGCACTGTTCAGAACAGGATTAATCAGCCAGAAATTCAATTCTATGAAAAGCTATGCATAATGATTGCAAAACCCTGTGCAATCAAAGAAGTGTTTTCATTATACTAATGTCAAATGATTACTTTGAGAGCAAAAACAAATCTTCCAGATGGCCACTCTATAAGATTTTAGTCTTCCTCCGTGGAGAATCTAGATTCAAATTTCCATTTCAGATATGCATAATTTATAATAGGAAATGCCGAACAATGAATCGTTCTCTATCTTTTATTTATTATACTCGACTCATAAGTTCGTTCTTCTTGGACGTACAATAATACAAAAAGCAATTTTTATACTATTAATTATTATAAAAAGGTAAAAGACTTAATTTTGAGGTAGAGATGAATTTTTTAAAAATTTTGNTCAAATTTCCTAAAAATTGCTATTATTTCTTGCTATAAATATTTTATCTATATGAATGTTTTAAAGATCTATTTAAGTTTTATCAGATTTTATTAAAAAATAATTGTATTATCGTCATAAAAGGCAAATAAGACTTAATTTTGAGGTAGAGATGAATTTTTTTAAAATTTTGTAAATGCCAATAATGAGTAAAACTTTCAAGTCCGATTCGTAATGTCATGTGTCTTAACTCGATCAATAAGTCGAGATATGATGCATAACCTCCCTTCCCGCCTCCTTGATTTGAAACCACTAAAATTTAATACCATCAATGCTTCACGTAAAAATAATCCTGCCGAGTTACGGAATTTTTCATTCATCCAATCCTGAGATATAATGCAAACAAGACGCCGACATACACACCCTTACACAATACATACAAACAATATACATGCATTCAGAATTTTGCAAAGGATTCTTTACATTTTTGGGCTTCTTGAGTGTCAACACATCGAGAAATGCAAAAAAAGACGAGCTCAAAATTTGACCTATCATCATACTTTTTATGTGTTACAGTGGGGAAAGTAAAAAGAATAGGTCAGTGTTGAATCGCGGCCAGAGTCAGAGTCGGGAAGACATTTGTCGCTACAAAATAAAATCAAGGTAAAATATATAAAGGGCGACAAAAATAATTCAAACTGCAGATTTAGAGAATTTATATATTTGCACAATAAATACAGTAGAACCTCCATTATCCGGACCTCCATTATCCGGATTTTCGATTATCCGGATTTTCCCGTATCCGGACTGCCTTCATCCCCAATTAGTCCGGATAATCGAGGTTCTGCTGTATATGTAAATGCTTAATGAGGAAATTAACTTACGCTTTCGATCTCCAAAGATAGATGACGGATGACGATACCCAGTAGATCTGAGACACAAGAGGCCATTTCCGCACTTTGAAACCGTTCCCGTTCCTTCGCAATCCGTCGATTGGCATATTCTTTTTCCAAAATATTCAAAAACCTAGCACGTTGCACTACTATAAGTGAGATCCTAGAAATGACGCTCAACGGAATGCCAATCAGAAGGCATCCTATCACAGCACGTGTTATCCAAATTGCCTTACCCCAAGCCGTCTTGGGAATAGGATATTTAGGATGTTCGGATATGAAAAAGATTGTCCAGAAGTCGGTCTCGATAAAAGATGAAGACTGACAAATGAAGAGGAGGATGGTTATTATCAGCACAAACAGAGAAATTATTTGAGGGAGGCTCCTGGCATAAGTGAGAATGATGTTTTCGACATTTGAAAAATAGCGTCCAAGCCTGAAAATTCTTGGAATCCGAAAAAACGTCAAAAACAGAACTGGAACGAGATTTTCATCGATCCACAAACGAAAATTAACTATTCGAAGAAATACATTAGCTATCAAATAAGGGATGATTGAAATTAGGTCCATCATATTCTGAGGAAGATTGAAAAATCGTTGTTTGTTCGGAGATGTCAGAAATCTGATCAACAGATCTAACAAAAAGATTAAGACGATCCAGTTGTCGATAGCTAATAATATGCGTCTAATTCCGGCAGTCGAGATAAAAGCGGTAAAGATGGTACAAAGACAGATTATATTCAATAGTAACGTCAAAAAATAATACACCTGAAAAATAATTAAATTGATAATTAGTTTTCAGACTAAACGATAAAATATAATTTTAATTCTTTGGCTTAATAGGTAAAAACGAATATCAAGTATTAATTATTTCGGAAAGGTGTCATCCAATGTTTGCAACATTGGGCTATTCATGGTACATTGTAATTCACATTTTATGTCAATTTCCGAATTGCTAATACCCGAATCATATGTAAGTCTATTCAAAGTGTGTGGTAACGAACGAATCTCAAATATAAATTCGAAATCGAGAATGTTTTCGAGAACAAACTAATTTTAAAATGGCAAAGATAATATCGGTTCTTGCCTTTCCTGTAGGACTTCGCATTGGTCTTTCCAAAATAAGCCAAATTCTGCGTCTGATGTCTTTCCAGTCGCATTTGGAAAAGTCCTCCTCTACGATACGTCCGATTGACTCAGAACATAGTTTGGCATCCGAAGCCGCCTGAATGGTTTCTTCTGCAAATCTGCGAGCGCAGAAGTGATCAAGATGCAGGATGGATAGACCCCAATATTCCAGATCATCTTTGAAACGCATTGCACACATTGTTTCTTCTAAATGCATCTTGTCTTGGTAATAACAATTTAAAATGGAGTCGAAGAATTCGCACCGGCGATCGAAAAAGAATTCTTTGCGATCCCCATCAAACTGATCGAAAAGTTGTGATGCTTCTTTCCAGGTACTTGCCGCATAAATGCGACTTAATCTAGTTTCGGGGAGATTTTTAAATAGGCCAAATAAGCATTGATACTTGGTACCACCCACATTCAAAATAACGGGATCTTTATCACTCAAAAAATACAGATTAGACATCGAAAATGCTATTATTTGATTCGCGTTTTGTAATAAACAAATTAAATAAATGTCCTTTATTGTTACGTCTTTAATTATTATTTAGGTAATAAACTGTTCTGTATGATATTAGAGATATTTTAAACAAGTTTACTTGTATTCGAATTGTTATGTCTATGAAAAAATTAAGCAAAATATATCTTAATTTATTCTGAAATCTCCTCAACTCTCCAGGACAGTATACATACGTAATCTATGCAAAATTTCTGGCATCAAATATAGTTAAATCAGAACGTAAAGCCAAATATGCGAAGTCTACCAATAGATAAAACTACTGAATACTGGTACCAGTAGTTGGTCACGGGTTTGCGCCTCACCAACAGTTTGGCCACGTGGAGTTTCCCGGATTTTCTTCACATATCTCATCTAAATATGGGACAGTTCCCTATAGAAAATCCTTCCGGGAGGCTCTTCTTTTAGCAGATCGCCATGCGTTGCATTGTCTTATACAATCAAATCAAACCAAATATATGGAAAATGCTTTTAAATACGTTTGAATGAAATATGCGATTGATTTTTCTACTGTGCTATATTTTAAACTGTGCAATTAAGTGAAGAATGAGTATGTATAATTTAACTTATACACTGAAAAAAAGATTATTTTATATAATTTTCTAGAAATTGTTACCATTGCTTTTAAATGATCATTTGTTGCGAGTGTTTATGATATCAACCGAAAATTAACTTGGTTAGAAATTTGGTAAATGGAGAATAAATATACAACATAAATATTTAATAGAAGACAAACAATTATTTATTGTGACATCGTCACAATGCCGGGCTGCATTTTAAATTTATTTATTTTAAAATATAGGCCTTGATTTTTAGTGTCTTGCTCCTGTACATCATACTTTTCCTGTTAGCAACAGAGTCATGCCGGTCATCTATCTAACTTATTTCAGGGAAAAATGTTTTAATTGAAATTACGTGACATATACGTGTAATCGGGGTCTTGTGTCCCTAATATTTCCATATCTGGTCTCGGATTTTATCTATCTAACTCCGTCCTCGAGATTAAGAAAGAACAGACATACAGACTGGGAATTTATAAGTCTACAATTTTTTCAAATTGTAGTCAATTACGTAATGCATGTCCTCGACCAACCCCCTCAATTGGACTAAGAAATAATACAAGCAACGAGTACTAGATATTACATTATTTTATTAATTACATGTATAACGTACAAAGCAATAACATAAACGGTATAGTTTGCTACATAACATTTCGGAAACAAAACAGAATCATTCTGTTACTCATGGGTTGAGACCCTAACGTAACGTTTTTAAACACTTCCAATCTCTTGTAGTCACAAGTGGGAGTGTTTATAAAACCTGCATTCCCACTCAACTAAATGTGCATTATGTAATTTATGGACAGTCTCTATTCTTTATTGTGACATGATCACAGAGCCAGGCTGCAAGTTTCTAGTATTGAGATGGGAAATCTTTCCCGTTCTTTTCCATGATAGTTGATATTTCGGGGCAAGTCCTTCCCCATTAGACAAGTTTGTGTCCGACTATACGGTTTTAATATATTGATACAGTGCCATAACAAGGCAGGTGCAACAGATGCACTCGCACAGGGCCCAATTGGAAGAGGGTCCCAAAATGCACATGTTTGTTTTATTATTTTCCCAAACCTAATTAATTAAGATGCCTAAATGCAAGTTCTTGCACAGAGCACAGGAATGGCTAGTTACGGCACTGTATTGATAACTCGAATTGATCAATCAATCAATCAAAAAGTCAGTCGAAATTCATTTTAGCAGATGATTTTTCGTTAATAAGTTGGAATATGGCAAAACCAGTCTATTATTTAATGTTTCAATTGATATTCAAACTTTCTGAATTTATAATTGCTTTATTACTTTTTATGGTAATAAATGGCAGTAGATTTATTCATTTCGCTATTAATTTAATTAATGGCGTAATTAATAAATTCAATTACAACATTGTTTGCATCTTACAAAATGCTATTACATATAAATTATGAATTAATTTACTAGTTGTATCTTCAGTCTCTTCTGATCGATATAACAGAAAAGTTTTTATATAAAAAGTAGTCTATAAAACTAGAGTATAAAACTTTTAGCTACGTACCACTGACACATAGATTATTATTATTAAGAAAAAATACTGTAGTAACGAATTATTTTAAATTATAAGCCTATATTGTGCTGCAATTTTAAAAAATTATAGACCTATAAATTCCCATTGTCATCCGTCTTTTAAAGAACGGAGTTAGATAGATAAAAGCCGAGAACAGATATGGAAAGATTAGGGGCAGGAGGCTCCCGATTAACTATATATGTTACCGCTAAAGCTCGAAATCCGTTAATGTGTACATTACCTAGCTAATCTGCAGATTAACTAGGGTGATCCGTTAAAGCTGCGAAAATTATTCCATTTCTCAAATTACCTAGGTAATCTGCAGATTATCTAGGTAATCTGCGAATTACCTACTAGACACTCGGTAAAGTGAAAATAAGATCTTTGCTGGAACAACAGCAACGTTTCTTTCTGTACGCTTAAATTAACATAATGTTCTTTATTTAATTTTCAATATCTAAAGAATCAAGTTAATACAATCAA